TTAGACTCTTGGCACTCTTAGGTGAGCAGACTTAGTCAGCCTGTGTTGCCCTAACAAGAGACCAGAGGACTTAGTGGAAATCGAAAGGAGGATTTCAAAAGCTCAATATGTGAATGCAGAAAGGTTTTGAGAATGATTCAAGAACCTGATGTACAATCACGATTTTGAAACAGGTGACCTGGTCCTCATAAGGAACAGCAGACAGGATGGCCCCCTCCATGATAAGATGCAGAGTCGATATATGGGACCATATATTGTTGTTAAGCAGAGATCCAGAGGCACATACATAGTGGCTGAACTTGATGGTTTGATATTCCAGCATACAATTGCCAAGTTCAGGGTGATACCCTACCTGGCCCGGAAAGACATGTTGAGCATGGTAGAGATAGTCCTTTGAAATCTCGAAAATGCGGACTTTGAAGTGAACGAGCCGGACCACAAAGCGGAATTTGAATGCTCGAATGAAGAAGCGGAAGAAGAGGAGGAGGAGAGCGAGAACCAGGAGATAGGCAGAGACGTGGTGGAAGATGGGGACAAAGAAATGATTTCAAGGTTCGAGAAGAAGACTTGGACCGGCTAGCCCTCCGATTCAACCTCGGAACAAGAATATGAACTAGTGTGCTGGAAAAGAATGACTTCACCATACCCATACCAAGAAGGGTATCTCTGTCAATATGAAATATATATATAACTGTCACTCAAAATCATATGATCGTTTTCGGGCACTATTTCTTACAACCACACATTAACTAATGTACATGTCAACAAATCAGGATATTTCTATCTATGATCCCGCTCCTTCAATACCCTCCACTACTCCATATTGACACCTCAAATCAAGAATCGGAGAGTGAGAAAAAGAAAATTCTGTTTGGAAGTCAGTTCGAACGACTCTGGAAGCGAAATCGAAATACTCACATTTGGCCCACTGCTTGCCCTTGTCCACCTGGCAGGAGGACTCGCCCTTCTTGCTTGAGTTGTCGTGACGATGGTGGTAGGCCGCCTGGGCCTTCTCCAACTCTTCATTGACCATGGGAATCGGCTCGCCCCTCTTAATGTGGTAGATGGCGTCGGCGGCCTCACGAGCATTCTGAGGCGCCACTATGATGGGGAAATTGTCATCGTCGAGCTCGCCAGACCTCTTGATGTTGGCGTGGAGCACATGGAAGCTCTCACTCAGGATGGCATGAGCGATGTGGAGGCGTTTGGAGTCGTGGATGAGGCGGTGGAGGCACTGTACTGTTCGAAACGTGTCAGAGGAGGAACCGAAATGATGACAAAAGGACTTATGAAAAGTGCCGGAGTACTTAAGGAACGCAGGGGAATCCACGTCCCTCCATGCCATCTCCATGCTCACAACCACATCTGGGATGGTGAACGAGAGCTCACCCTCCATCTTCACGGTACCGGATTTTGCCCTCTTGTTGGGTTTCTTCATGTTGTCACCAGTCAAGTTGATAGTCACCTTGCGCTTTGAATTGGCCATCTTCGAGCTTTCACCAGCTGGTTCCTTATCTGATTTGAAGTCAGTACAAACTCCGAACAAGCCAGAAGAACACTTACTGCGCACAATAAAGCTACAGCTGTAGCCCTTGCACCAGTACGAGTCGCAGGACTGACCAACCCTCTTCAAGTCGCCTTTCCAATCAATGTCCGAGTAATTCCATCCACCGGTGCACCGTTGGCCCACCTTGTTGGAGCCGCACATGTCACACTGGGACGGAAATCAGCAAGGAACAGAATGGACAAGGTGTAAACGTACCGGAATGGGATTCTCGCAGAGAACTCGGAACAACTGCTGAAAGTTAGAATCGACGTTCGAAATGAAAAAGGAAGCGCTTACATTCTTGAACACCTTCACCTTCGTGAAGTAGGAGATGGGCCACTTCGGTGACAGACAGATGTCCATGATGGACAATCGGTCCCCATGGAGATGATCAGGGTTGAGCTTTGAGAGGACGTCAGCCAAAATACAAACATCGATCTGAAGACTTACCGAAGCATCGAATTCGGCAGCCATCTTGGCTCCAGCATGTGGGACCAGAGAACCAACAAGGAGTCAGCGATTATGAGGCTTGATACTCGACATGACTTACACTATCGGGCATGGGTAGTGGATCTGGCTCGGCTTCCGCAGCCAGAGCTAAGAGAGCCATGCTGAGCTTAGCCTTTGGCGCCTTGTCTGCCTTCTTTGACTCATCGGGAGCAGGAGTTGATTCAACAACGGACAGAGATTTCGAGGGAGAAGGAGGCAGAGAAGCAGCGGCAGAGACGGAGACCCTTGATTGGGAGTGCTGAGCTGGGATCTTCACGATGACGGTCGTCTTCGGAAGAGCCAGAATGGAAGCCGGCTTCATGGGCAAGCACACCGGGACTGCTTTCTTAGGCAAGGGAATCGGAGTCACCACCTTTGGAACAGGAATAGGTGGACTCCCTTCGATGCCAGCCCAGCGGTATTTCTGCAAAGCAAGGTGCTGCGCCTGCATGGCCACAGACAACGCATTCCAGGCCTTCTCCTCTGCTTTGATCGAAGCTTCGAGGTTCTCGTCTGGCTACTCGAACATCAGTCAGCAGTTGGAAATGGGAAAACACTTTGCGTACCTCCTTGTTAGCGGCCAGAATGGCCTCAAGCTCCGTCCGATGCCTGAGGGCTGAAGAGTCGAAGGGAGGCTTATTGTCTCTCCCCACAACAGCCTTCCTGTCCCCCTCTACCCACTCCTCCAAGGGCAAGTACAACGGCCCCCCTTGCGCCAGCAATTTCATGACGAGTTGATTCCCCTGCGGAACAATTAGAAAAATGCAACCGGGGAGGGGATAATATACAAACCATTCTCGCGTGCCATTGCGTCTGGAATGTGGGACCCATGAACGACGCTGCAGTCAAAGGCACGGTCTGCCAGTATTTTCTCTTATTGTGCCTCGAACGGAACTTGACAAGCTCGACCTGCCGAGGAAGTTAGATCCGAAGTTTGAACAGAAAAGGAAGACTTACCTGGAACTCGGACACGCTGCCATTCGCCCTCCAGGCATCGGGATCTGCGCCAAAGGGTGGGACCATGGCAAGGATCTCGGGGAGGCCCTTGCTGGGTTGGTTCCTATCAAAGCCGCGTCAGTAAGGGAGCGCATATATGTGGTTGAAAACTCACCTCCTCCTCTTCACCCTCCGTCGGCTCCATGGTGGTCTCCCTAATATGGCTTTCCTGCAGGAAAGGTCAGTACGGGGCACACAGCTCAACAAGGGAGGAACTTGCCCTGGGCGACTCATCATTGGCCTCGCCTCCATCCTCTGCAGCGCGCTCCTCAGTGGCCGTCTCGGGCTCTTGCTCCTCCTCAGGCTCCTCATGCAACTCCAGTTCCTTCTCGATCCACGTGGATGACCTGGTCCAAGAGACTCTCAACTTTGGAGTCGAGGTCTTCAAAGGGGGCATGGATGCCTTCTTCAAGGGCCTCACCTTTGTGGCCACTGGCCTTGCGTTCAAGGCTGGGCAATCGGCCGCAGGCTTCGGCTCTGGCATCTACACAACAGTCAGCAGAGGGAAAGACACTCAGGAAAAAGGAAGGGATGCACAGCAGGGGGATCCTCCTCCTCGGGCTCAGTCAACTCATCGTGCGAGGACTCCACCAACTCCTTTGACCGAGTCTTCTTACCGGAGGCCTTCCGAGCCCTCGAACCTTTTTTCGTATCTGCGGCAGAAGGCTTCTTGTTTGAAGAAGCCTTGGGCTTGGTCTTGGATGACAAAGGCTTCTTGCCAGAGGTGGCCCTAGTGCTGGAGGGAGCCATGTTAAAGTCCATCGGGAAAAAGTGAGAGGGCAAGAGTGGTGGTGGAAGGAAAGAGAAAATTATAAGGCAGCGGCATATGAAAGGTCCCGCCGCGCCTCTCTTTATACGCCGGGTCGGAATAGGTCCCGTCAACGAAGTTCGAAGGCCTGAGGTTTAGACCACGCTTCCTTGATGACTGAATGGCCTTCACACGTAGGCCCTGACTCAAACAACGCTCGCATCACCATATCGCTGCCTACTGCTGCTCAAAAGGCCACCTCAAACCACTGATCCGAACCACCCTTTCACCATGACTCATCAGTCCATTCCAGAAGATTCCTCAACAATGGTCATGTGACTGAGGACAGTCACTGAATAAGTCCCCCGTGAGATGTGCTGCACATTCGAGTTTCGAGCTCAAATCCAACATTTGAACACCTCTTCAAACGACATCTTGAACTCAGCCGGACCGGACTAGTGGAAGCCAGAAGTGGACCCTAGACATAGCATTAGGTAATGTAGATTACACATAGATTAGTAGATATAGGCAGACTTGGATACTTCAGATAGGGAACTCAGACTCCTCTGTCACTTACTCTCAACTGCACTCATTCAAGACAGGTGTTCCTCTAGCTTACAACTAATACTACTGCTATACTCTACATGACTGCTCAACCTTTGAATACCTCTTGTTCACCTCATTTGGCCCATTCCCTGCTCCCTCTCCCATTTGGATGTCTTTCAGATTGCTGCATCCAGCTTTGGAGCTCACACAGGACCTTCGGACTGGCATTTGAGTGGCTCTATCTTAGGAGTCAACAATTCAATTAGGCCTGGTTTTATCTAGTGCTACCCACTATGAAGCATGGGCTACCACTGTTGACTCCCCCTCCAGTGGACCTTCTCCTGATGCCTCATAGGGAGGTGGAGAGTACAGTTGCTGCACAATCTGAAGCTAATTTAGCTGGGCCAAAGTCCAAGAACAGTGAGTAACTTACCAACTAACATTTCCCCCCATTTAAACCTGTAAAAGGAGCCTTCAGCATTGAAGACAGAAGTCTTAATCTTCTCTGCAGAAGGCTCAGTCACAGCACTTCTGCTAGCTTGTGCCCAGCCCATTGCTTCAGCATTATTGGCAACTTGCATGGGTTCAGGATCCTGAGCTTTCATCTTCACCAGCTCAGCTCAATGTCTGGCCTTGAAATTCTTGAGAGTGCATTTGTTACATTTATCTAAAGTGAAGTTGGTTAGTAAACAATTGGGGCACCAGTTACAACTGGCCAGATGCACCTGGCTGTATGGCACTGCATGTTGCTTTGTGATTCATGCAATGGTAGCATAAACTCATCTTGCCTGCCCTGTGAAAGCAGTGCAGGCTCTGCTCCTGGCACCAGATACACTACCACAGTGGATCAACATTTATATCTGTAGTCAAAAGAGTCATATATGCCTTGGGGTCCAGAGGGATATGCATGTCTGCAGGTGGGAGGGGGTACTTCTTGGAGGCAACAATGCCCTCCTCAGCCATGTCATTGTCATGGACAAAGTGCTAGAAAAGGAATCAGGATCATGCTGAACACAAGAGACAAGGAATGATATACTTTGTACACTGCTGCCCACCAAGCTGTCTTGTCCTCCACCCTGACCTCCAAATCCAATTCCAAAATGTGGTCCCCCCCCCCTCCATTTTGTCTTCAGAGGAAGAAGTTATCTATATGAGTATTAGCAGAAGTCATATGTGGAAACTGGTTAATAACAACTGGATTCTGGTTGTAACTGACCTGGCTGGACTCACCTGACATGCCTTTCCCTTTGCCTTGTCCACATGAGGACTGGGTCAGTAATCATACTGAGACTCATCCACACTGGACTCCTCATCACTGTCAGTGGGGAAGACATTTGCAGTCTGGGAAGCACCTGTCAGGGTACACCCAGTACTGCATATATAGCAACCTGTGACCAATATCACAGTTAATGACCAATATCACTTAACTGTGATATTGAGGCTTTTTTGGCCTAGTGGTAGTATTTGCAGGTGTTACCCTGACATATTATCATAGTTACCAAAAGGTCACTGGTTCAAAACTGGCTGTCAGCACTATCAGCACTTTCTGCACAAAGGTACTTAGTGGCTATGTATGATCCTGATCAAACCTCTGGCTTGCAGGTCTGGACTTGGTACCCAGGCCTAGGGGGCAATGCCATATGGCTGTGCCAGGGTTGCTGGGATATAGGTGAGGGCTAAGGGCCCAACAGACTGTGATCATATGGTAGTGATTGGGGCAATCACCCTAAAAGGCAGGGTGATGTACAGTATATATAGCAACCTGCAACCAATATCACTTAACCATGATATTGAGGCTCTTTTGACCTAGTGGTAGTATTCACAGGTGTTACCCTGACAGCACCCATGCTGCTCTTGCCCAGAGTATCCTGGTTGGAGCAGGAGGTTCTTGTCCTGCTCCTACAGCTCTGCAAGAAGTGTGTCCAGGAGGAGGATCATTCTGCTCCTGTGGCTCTGCAGGAGGAGGAGAGGATGGTGCAGGAGGGGGAAGAGAAGCAGCAGGGAGGGGGGGAGGTGGCAATATGTGAGAGAGGTGTAGGTGGAGGCTGCAAGGATGGCATTGGAACATGTGGGGGAGGCAAGGCCAGGGGAGCAGGTGGATTGACTGGTCTGTGTTTTTCTCCTCCAAGATCTCCATATGTGCCTGGAAGAGTTTTGGCTGAGGTGGGGGGTACCATGCTAACACTCATAGCAAGTTGCACACTGTATAAGCCTAATTTCTGTTTGTCTGTGTCAGCTAACTGGATCCAAACCAGATCTTAACTGGCAAAACTGGGACTGACCCTTGCCTTTTTGGCAGTGCAACCAGAGCTGCTGGAGGTCTAACCCCATATGCTCAATTTGGGTGGGAGAGAGGGATGCAAACTAATCTTGATGCTCTCAGGCAAGGGTATGGACAGCTTCCTAATAAGATATAAGCAAACAAAGTGGGAGGGGCATGGGGGATGTTCTTACCCAGTCAGCAGTGAGGAGCTCAAGATTCTTCACTGTTAGGGCAACACAGGCTGACTAAGTCTGCTCACCTAAGAGTGCCAAGAGTCTAAGCAGGCAACAAGGAAGTGGAGTAGACCTGATGACTAAGACCTATCTACAGTATAGGTACCTGTGGATGATCCTAAGAGAC